TATATATATATAGAATTATTGTTAGATACGTTGTCATCGGTTGCTCTAGGGGTACGTGAAAGATGGAGGAACAACAAGGAAAGGAACAAACCAGGAAAGAATTAAGTGCAGCGACTGAAAGAGTGATTGTATTGGCTAGGATAAGCAGTGGGCTGAGCATAAGATATCAAAAGAAATTCGGCTACTCGAGTAGAAACTCGAATACCTCCAATGTTTGCTTTGTGTATATTGTTATTAGTATTAGGGGGACGGCGCAGTGGTAACATAGGGTGAACTGGGTAGCCGCTTCTGTGCAGGCTCCCGAGGGCCATTGGGTGCGGCTATAGTGTGAGGCAATGCCAGGTAATAAAATAAGAGTATTACGTTTTAGATAATTTATATGTAGACAAATTTCCAATGGTTTTTTGTTAGGCAGGGGCAAATATGTCCAATATCTTCATCGATAGATTGTGGTCACCGGTTATTCATATCCTGTGTGGCACATCCGAATCTATCAAACTAAAAACACTCTAGTTAAGCCAAAGCTATCTGGAGGACGGATTGACTTACAACATGACCGTGCTATATGAATCTGCTGTGCATAGCAGAAGACACTATTAACAGCTGAATTACGCTATTAACTAATCTTGCCTATTATGAGCGAATGCTAGTACCGGCTATTAGGTCTCTATGTACCTTTAAGTATACAAACAATGACTAGTTGTTAGCATTGAGAGCTAGTATAGATGCCAGTGACGATTTGATGGTCACGTAGACAAGAGTAGAGGAGTGGTGAAGAAACGGCCTGATGGATGATCAAATCCATACTGTGCTTTCTATAGCGGTCAACTAGTTCCATTGTGGTGAATAGAAAGGAGGCAACTTCACGCAATAAAGTATAGTTATACAGTCATCGTATCATAAAGTATGGAACAGCAGGGTCTATCTGGCTAAACCTTTCATCGTAAAAGTGAGTAATAATAGGTATGTGGTACAGTGGTGATTAGCGGTGATAGACGCGTCGGGGCAGGTCAAGGAGGCCGGTTATTACTTGAGAAGTTTCATATGTATATTAGCAAAGAATTATCCATTCAGTTCTATGAACATCATCATTATCATCAATGGAGCGATAGCAGGTGTGTCAGTGGTCAAAGGACAAATAGGACAGATAGGTAGATATTTCAAATCTATTCTGTTGTCACCGGTTGCCAATCCACGGCAATTAATAGTCAGTGAAAAGGTGGAAATGCACATATCGTAAAAGTACGTCATCGTTCGTAATTTCGGGTGCGAAAATCTGTCGATAAACAGCAAATGGATTTTATGCGTATATACATATATTTATATTAATATTATTACAAGCACGTTAGCGCTAGCGTTTCTAGGGTGCATGGATAGATGAGTGGAACATGAACAACTTTATCTTGCACACTGCCAGGCCATTCAACTCAATCAGGCCGCTTAACCGCCTCCGCCACGTCACTGCAGGAATGGAACGTCCAGCATGTACAAACGGCTCACAAGTTGCCCTGCGGCGGTAAAACCCAACGGCACAAACATCTTTTTAACGACCCCGATTCAGGGTTGATTCTCCTTCGTTCCTTGGCTACTGGTCAATCATCCACTAGGCCTTACGAGCCCTGCGACCTGAATAGTTCAACAACGACGGGGGTCGTGGGGTCAAACGATGACGAGAGGCGATGTATTCGGATGAGCAGACGGAAAAGTTGTCCAATCAAGCGACGATATGAATTTTTCTTTGCACAAGTAATCTACATCTACTGCTACAAAATCTATTAGACTACGAACGCTACAACCAACTACAAAATTATTAATACAGCAAATAATCAAAAGGTAGAGGATTATCTCAGATCATAATTATCATTCCAAAAAAATCAGCGCGAGTTTTCGCAAATTCAACGACGATAACGTTTAGTTAAAATCAAATTTGTTGAGGTCCGAGGATTATTCCGTACATCATACTACTAACTACACTCACAAAGCAGCACCTCTACATTTGCCCTCAGCAACGCATACTGTCTACGGCATTAACAAATATAGTAAATCATTCATTTACGTTTATTCAAAATAGAAGAGGATTTATTAGCAATGAAAGGATGTTTCTTCCAAACAACTATCCGTAATTGTTGTTAATCCATAATTCAATTTTTTTTTCTAAATTTACTGATGATCACTAAAAGTATTTAAAAGTAGTAGTCTAGGTTTTCTAAAGCGTTTATTTGAGGATGTCTACTCAAGAGCTCATTATACTTCTAAATGTTTGTTTTTTTTTTTAAACAATTCCTTTTTATACTTTCCACAGTGCATTTTAGGATGCCTCTTGATTATTTCTGAAACATCTGAAAGTATCTCTACTAGCTCTAAGCAAGCGTAGATTAAAGCACGACAATGGCTCTGTAACAGGTATCCGTACAATGATCATAGAATCAGGCGAATGAGGGCGTGAGTCGTACTCTACGACTGATGGATTTCCGACAAGCGATTTATTGTTCTTATCAAATATTACATAATAACATTCACAAGACGAATCAATTGTTACCGTCCGCATACTACCAATAGTCGTCACGATAGCACCAGTTACTTTCAGACCAATTTGAAACACACACAAATCATTTTTGCACACACACAGGTCATCGCATCCGTGGTATCTGCAAGGTTCCAGCCTTTACGGAAAATATATGCTAAGCACTACGAGGACAGATAGTCGTGCGTTCAAAGGACAAAAGACCACTTAGGTGGAAAAAAAAAACATTCCATGTTAGATTTTGTGTAAAGGCAAAATAGCGTAATGTTGATGTTTATTGATATTAGTCAGGTCCATGATCCTATTTAGCTGTGCCTCCTTCTGCTGCTCAGTCGAACAACTACTTATGTATTTCTTTGCTTTGGGTTAATTTCGTCGGCTGCGTATATTTTCTATAATAACATTTGTCAAAATAGTTCTTATTACTAGCATTAATAATATTATTATAATAATCTTCATTATTATATTGTGTTGTTCTTTTTCTAACCATTCAAGTTCTATCTCAGGTTGCGTTTTTAGGTAATCGTCATATTATTGATTAACTTTCTCCGCCATCTACTATAGTTGTTTTTTTTTTTTGCTTTTTTTTCTTGCCATTCTCGCTAGATATATATATATGCGACGAAAGATAATGCAGTGTCAGGCTGAGCGGTAAAGACAACGCAGGTCGTTTGTTGCCAGCTCTATCGCCTCTAGTTCTTTTGCGTGCGACATTAAGCCGATTCAAACGCCGTGCGATACGCTGAATCTGTAGCTCTATGGCATGTTCAAAGGTCTATTGATGGCGACGATAGGCGCCGGCACCCTACACGATGCCAGCAAATAGACGTACTCAAGCTTAAGGCGTTCACTCGTGTTCTCTGCCTATCGAACGTACGCTCTTTCAAATCACGCACACTTCTTCCGATCGGAACTACACTCTCGCCCGCTCCCAATCGTTCGCTTATATGAAATCGTTTCTTTCATTCTTGTATATATGTAATTTTCTGCCTTAGGTTTTCTGTTCTGCCGGGTTTCATACCTAACGCACCGTCGTCATGAATTAGATGTGTTTAATTCTAGACCGCTTATCTTCTTTAAAGGATTGACAATATTTCCACAGTCTCGCAAAAATTTCCGTAGGTTATGAACCCGACACAACTACCTATAATAGGCAGACGTCAACATAGGTAACTCGCTACCCAATTATTTACGTAGCTACGTAGAGATCAGAGGGTAAATTTGTTTCGTAAGAGAAAATGATAATAATATTACACTTCTGTTTGAGAGAACACGCGTTACCTATGTCGGGAATCTTATGTTTATATTGGGCAAACAGAGCAACACGTTACAACCGTTTCACACTCATCAAGCGTCCTGCAAGTATGACATACTGTCAAATGTCTTGGTTCTTCTATAGCCGCTAATTGTCGCCCGCTTCTTGCTGCTGCTACTGTTTCTGTTGTCCATATTGAACTAGTAGTGGGTTCTGATAAATTCTAATCCATAGATTTTATAACTATTTTAACCTCTGGTATTGTTTTAGTTATGTCTATCCGTACTCAGCTCGCTAATGCCATAATCTCGCAGCATTATTCCCCTTCCATCAAAGAAACTATTAGAAAGCTGCCTTTCAAGAGTTACATATTATTTTCGGGCCTCCTTCTTAATCGCCTTAAACATACGGTTGTACGTCATTACCTTACAGCTAAGGCCGGCATACGGCTCATAAAGATATTCAGTAAGGATCGGAGTGCTGCAGTTGGAAAGCTAGTTCATCAGTGTCCTGCCCTCAAAGCGATCATAGCTGAACGTGGCTTACCATGCTACATAATCTACACGCACGGATACTTTCTCACTAGAATTACTAGATATGGTATTATTACTAACATTATTGTGGTTATATCAAATCAGAATGTACGCATCATCTCTAACAATGGATACATCTCGATGTATTTCGTGCACGTATTCTTCCCTCTTGTCATTATTCTTATATGCATGATAGATAAATAGGCTCAAATAGGTATGTGTTACATGAATAGTCTTGGAGTAGGTCTAGACGACAATTAAGGATTTATAACCTAAAATGAGTATATGTTATTATCTACGTAAAACAGATTTTCGG